TAATAAATGTTTGTTAAATTAATAATTACAGTAGCCTTCTCTGCCTCTAGTCTCAGTTCCTTCCAATTCAGTTAGCATACTGACACCCACTCTAAAATTCTTCAGTAAATCCTCACCAGCCTCAGGGAAAAAAACCAACACCTCAGCATGGTTTACAAAACCTTTAGAATCTGGTCCTGCTCTATTTGCTTTTACACTTGGGCCACATTTAACTACTTGCAGTTCTCCAAATGCCCCCAAATTTCCTCCTGCCAGGTTTTCACGATTCCCTCTGCTTGGAATTGTCCATCCCCACCAATAGGAAGGCAGACTCCTCCTTTTTCTGTACAACCCACTACCCTGTACACAACTAGCACACACCGACCACATTGTGTCTGTACTGTAGCTGCTTCCCAACTTGTTCCAAGCAGTTTTTATTATAAAAAGTTTTATTGATAAAGGTAACATAATCACATTAGAGGAAATATAGGAAAAGTAGGAGAAATAGAAAAAAGGTACATGTATATGTATGTGTGAGTATATCCATATATATGATATCACAATATCATCCTCCTTACATAGTCACTGGTATCATTTTGTTGTACAGTTGACCCTCAAACAACACAGGTTTGAACTACATAAGTCCACTTATAGGCGAATTTTTTCAGTTGACCGGTGCAGTTCAAACTCCTGTTGTTCAAGGTTCAGCTCTGCAGTTGGGAACCCATGGATGTGGAGGGCCCACTGTAGTTATATGTGAATTTTGGATTGGGCAGGAGATCTGCGCACCTAACCCCTGTGTTGATGACAGGTCAACCGTTTTTCTTTCTAAGATTTTTTCATATGCATATATTTTTGCATGACTCTAATCAAAGTGAATGTATGATATTATAGCTACCTGCCCTTTAAAAACAAAGCCAACATTATACGATATGCATTTTTTCTTGCTATGCGGTCACCCTAACCACCATTTTTAATGGTTATATAATAGCCCAACAAACAGATATGCTGCAGTATACTACCTAACCATTCCACTGTCGGTGAATATTTAGATCTCCCTCCCTCTCTTTTTTTTTGGCTATTTTAAGTAAGAAAGAACTTACCATCTTCATATACACAGATTTTCCATATTTTGGATTTATTTCCTTAGAATAGATTACCAAGAGTAATAGATGTTATAAGTTAAGATCTTTTGTCCTTCGGCTCAAGTTTGGTAGGAGGAAAATATATACATGTATGTGTTTCAATTTCACTTCCTCTAATTATTAGTGATGCTAAGTATTTTTCATGTTTGTTCACTAATTATTTCCTCTTTCGTGAATTGTCTGTTCATGTCTTCTGCTCATTTATCTGAATATTAGTGTTTTAAAAAGTCAATTAGAATAGTTAGAGTTTTTAACCCTTTGTCATATTTGCTGTAACTATTTTTTGTCTATTTTTATTTTGGTAAAATTTTAGCTGCAAAATAAAATCTCATTACAGAAAATCTGAAAACTAGAGAAACACATTTTTAAAAAACAATAATTCTGCCACTCTAATATAACCACTATTATCATTTCCTCTAGTTTTTTCCCCTAATAGCTGTGCTTTACAAAGTTGTAATTGCAGTGTGCATACAATTTTAAAACCTGCTTTTTCATTAGCACGTAAGTATTTTTCTGAAATGCCCTGTAGTCTTCACAATTATCATTTAAAATAATAGCATAATATTCCATGAAGATAATTCACCATTTCCTTATTGCTAGACATTCATTTATTTCTTTTTTAAAAATAAATAACACTAATAAACACCTTCACACAAAGTTTTTTCTATATTTTGAATTATTTTCTTAGGAAACATTCTCAGGAGTAGGCTTACTACATAAAGGGTATTAACACAATTTGGCTTCCAAATTGCTTTCTTAAGGGATGAACCAAACCACATTATTACCAGCAAACTGAGTACCCTCTTTTTCAATTCTGTTAAATACAGGCTTAAAAATAGGCTACCTAGTTGTTTTAATTTACATTTATTTGATTAGTAGTGATGAACACTGTCCCATGCCTTCCAGTTGTACTTAAACTCCTCTGTAAATTGTCTATTCATGTTCTTTGCCCATATTTCTTCTTATATATCATACTATATGAGTACCTTAGAAAATACAAACATATCATGCTTCATAATATTTATGTCAACTATGCCTTTTCCGTATGTGTTTAGATTTTATTTTTAAATTGGCCACAAAAGTTTTAAGTTATTTTGGTTTTAAAATTTTATACAAATTTGTTGATCTTATCCTTTGTGAGTTTCTTCTATTACCTCCTAAAGCTTAGAAAAATATTCCCTTCAGAGGCTTGATAAATATTCATTCATTCTAATTTTTTAAATTTGTTTTATAGTTAACTCTTCAATCCAGCTGCCACTTATTTTAGTTTATTACAGGAGATGAGAGTATAAATGCTACAAGCTGTTACAACATCATTTACCGAACAATCCTTTCTGCTCCCATTCATTTGCAACACATGCTTTAAAACTGATTGAATTCTCATATATAACCATCTCTTTGGGGAGTTTACTATAATATCATCTGTCATATCTTATACCAGTGATACCAGTGTTTTCATTATTCTAGTTTTGTATGTTTACTATATAATAGCATTAGTACCTCATTAATCTTCCTTTGCAGAATTTTCTTTGAAAATCACTCTTCTTTAGCTTTCAAATCTAATTATTGCTGCCTTACCTCTGTGATATGAATTTCTTGAGGGCAGAATTGGTTTATGTCATTAAAATAGATGCTAGGAGTAATATTACTGGGTCAAGAGGTACGAATGTTTTCCCTACTCTTTTAACTCTTACCCAAAGTTTTCAAAAAGAATGTGCCAAATTCACTATAATCCTGCCAGTACCTGAATATTGTGAAGTAAAGAATTTTGTTTTCAAAATTGTTAGGGGGAAAAATATACATTTCAATTTATATACCTCTGCCTACTAGTGATAATAAACATATGCTTGATATATAGTAGGTTCTTAATCAATGCATGTTGAATGAATAAAAAGCATGTATAAAAGTATACATGTATTTGGGGATGGGGAAATATTGTGGGTATAACAGACAAATGCTGGCTAGATGTAAGCTTGTGGACTAAATGCCTACAGTCCATCTGCAGATTGGCTCTAGAGGTGTCAAGAACCCCCTAAATTGGGGCAATCCCTAGAAACTCCCTGCAATTCATATTTTTACCACAGGTTTGTCTGTTTTGACGTAGGATCAGCTGAAAGCTGTCTGGAATAGTTATAATAATCGTGTGGGGGTATGCCCACACCTACACACAGCCCAGAAGCAACCATGATTGGCTTACGATAGAGTGCTCTTCCTCTAGCACAACAAAACAGTGATAAGAAGTATCAAGAATCTGGGTATTCCACTGCAAACTGACCCAGGCCCTAAGCAATGAATTTAAATACATAAGCTCCTCACTATACCACTTTTGTGTTTTTTTTGTTCTAGAATCACCGTGCCTACTACTGTGCTAAATTATGTAGTTGCAATAAAATGTTGGATCTTTCTTGCTTATGTTTTCCAAATTCAGTATTGATGAATTGACTTCTGATGTAGCATTAAGAAGGTATTGTCATAAATTAGAAGCGTTAAAATTTTTTAAAAAATAAAATAAATAAATAAGCTCCTCCAAGTGCCACAGTCAAACTAGATCTGACTAATAGGACCAGGCATTTTCCATGAAACCACACTGTTCTTCTCAACTCACTAAGCACAAAAGGGCATATAAGTTCTTGGTTCAGAGAAAGTGGTCTTTTCCCTTTTATCTATAGCTTGAAGGAAAGAAGGTGATTTTTTCTCTCCTTGAGATTGCTGAATTTTTTTTAATAGAGCAAAAACTAACAAAAGGGAGGTTTTTTTCTCTTTGTTCTTAAGGCCATGTAAAACTTATTGTTAAACACTAGTTCTCTTTGTTCCATCACCTCAGTAGATTTTAGTAATAAACTTTCTCAAGGACTTCCTTGGTTATGAAATCTGTCGATTTGATGAAAAGAATTCCATATTATTATCTTAACCTGCATATGCTGAAATTGTGCTCAAGGTTTTATTCTGAAAAAAACAAAGTGCTGCTTTTTCCAGACTCAAGGACACTGGAGAGTATCAAGGTCATGACCAATGGTATGAACAATTGGTGTATGGATGATGCATTAGCAGGTTGATTAACTCAGAGTTTTAAAAATCCTTTTTCTCCAACATGCATTAAGTACTACAGACATATCAAGCAAGATGCCAAATTGAATAAGGCCCAGCAGTCCTTGTTGGATACAGAGCATAGCTGTTTGAAATACTAACACAAACCTCCAAAAGGACTTTCCCTCTAACTCCAAGTAGCACCTAAGAATAACTGTTTCACAAGCCCTTTCTCCTTAGAGTGACACCTAACTCTCAGCTGATACTTTCCTTAGAGATGGCAGCATAAGCCTCCTTCTTGATTCTCATCAATTGTCCACCTATTTGAAAATCTGTTTGTCATTTCTTTCAAGACCTAGTTCTATAACGCACCTTTTCTAAGATTCCCATCATTAATTTCTCCCTGATGCTAAATTTCTTCAGCTCATACGTATATTCAGTTGGTACCGAAACTGATGTTGCTTCCTAATTATTCTAGTTTTGTTAGTGTTTCTACAGTATAAATCCCTTTAAGGTGGGGATTTCCAGAAAGATGAAAAAGAATTTTGAGATTATATCCTTTGCCCTGCCCATTTTCCTGATGTAGAAACTGAAGCCTGAGAGGCTAATGTGTCCTAGTCAGTTAGCCAAGTTTGCAGAAGAAATACCAGGGACCTGATATAGTTCAATAGTTCGCTTTCCACTATATTTTGTCATCTATTTCACATGCATCTCTTCAGAATGTCTAGTAAAGTGCTAATATATACACAGGTCTCTCAATAAATGCCAATACAGTAAATGTATGAGTTTACATAACTGAGGAACTGACTCAAGGAAAGAGGCAGAAAGCAGAAAAGGTCATTTTCTTACTTCTTTGCATGATGCCACCCTCCGGACCAGTTAATCGCTACTTTGCACATTCCATCAATCAAGCACTGGGCAGCTGTGATTGTAGCTCCTCCCACAGCTGCTGCGTAGTCAAATATCCCTTCAGTAGCTGGACAGTCATAACCTTTGGGCAAACATCAAAAGAGCTTGTTAAAAGATGAATTGGAGAAAGAGGAGGTGTGATATTGTGATTTATAAGAAGAAATATATTTGATCTTTGTGCCCATTTCTGGTTCAGAGCTCCTAAAACTCTTGGAATTTCCTAAGTGATGAGAGTGTTCCATAAAGGTGTCTTTGTTATATTAATGAGGTGATGAGTGGACCAAACCTAAGGATGGGGGCTGGTTGCCAGTGGAGCCAACCATGTGATTAGAGGGTTGGAATTTTCAGTCCCTCTCCTAGACCTCCACTAAGGGGAGAGGAGCTGGAGACTTAGTTCAATTACCCACTGGTCAATGATTTAATGAACCATGCCTATGTAATTAAATCTCCATAAAAACCCAATAGAAGAGGGTTCAGAAAGCTTCCAGGTTGATGAACATGTGGAGATTTGGGGAGAGTGGTGCACTTGGAGAAGGCATGGAAACTCTGCATCCTTTCCCCCATACCTTGCCCTATGTGTCTCTTCTATCTGGCTGTTCCTGAGTTATAGCCTTTTACAGTTGACTCTTGAACAACACAGCAGTTAGGGGGCCCAACCTTCCTGTGTAGTTGAAAATTCATGTATTAACTTTTGATTCCCCCAAAACTTAACTAATAGGCTACTGCTGACCAGAAGCCTTACCTAAATAGTCAATTAACACCTATTTTGTATGTTATATGTAGGTATACTGTATTCTTACAATAAAGCTAGAGAAAAGGTTAAGAAAATCATAAGAGAAAAAACATTTTACAGTATTTATTGAAAAACATCCATATATAAGTGGATCTGTACAGTTCAAACCTGTGCTGTTCAAGGGTCAACTGTATAATTAGGGGGTAATCTAAAGAGTAAATGGGTTTCCAGAGTTCTATGAGTTGCTCTACCAAATTAATCAAACCCAAGGAGTGGGTCAGAAGTACAGGTAACAGCCTCGGCTTGTGATTGCCATCTGAAATGAGCAGCAGTCTTGAGGGACTAAGCCCTTCATCTGTGGAATTTGATGCCATCTCCAGGTAGATAGTGTCAGAATTGAATTGAATTGTAGGACACCCAGCTGGTGTCATGAGCATTGCTTGGTGATATGGGAGTAAACTCCTCCTCCACACATTGGAATTAGGTCCAGAACCTCTTAGGAGGAATAGGTTGAAGTATGACAACAATGTACCCTACCAAAAAGCTACTATGCTAAAATCAGCTCCAAGCAAGAGAAACATCTCCAATATTGGGAAAAGAATTCTTTACAGTATTGAGCTAGAAAAGCTAAACCTTCAAGATTAACTAGTCATATCCTATAGATAGAGACACTGAGGTTTAATAGGAGATATGTCTTATCTATGGTCGCAAAGAGCAAGGACTGGGACACAGGCCTCCTGACCCGCCCCCAGTTCAGTTCTTCTACTAAACCATGTTGTTTCTCTAGATTATCCTATTAGGCCACTTCCAATTTTTTTTAAATGAAGCTGTTTAATGAAAGATAAAGTAGACTACTTAGCCACAACATGAATCTGTACTCAAGTTAAAAGGTAAGGTAACATAACAGGGCAGTTACATCAGCACATATAGCCAGACCCAAGCAACTGAAAGATTTTCCTCCATCTGATCCATCATTCAGTTCTGCTCAACTCAAATGGTTTGTTCGTTAAGTGAGATGTATGTGGCTAAACTGAGAGATTAAGTTTGTGGTTAACATATTAGTCCTCAATTAAAAAGTATTAAAGACCACCATGCAAGTTATAAAAGATTAAGTAGTTCTGATCTATAGATAGAGGTTGTATATCTTCCATCATTGCTCAGTAATGACATTACCTAGACCATATTCTATGGAGTCTGGATGATCATCATCTCCTTCTTGGCTGACCTTCTGAAGATGCTGCAGATAGGCATCAGTGTGGAAGGTGGCCATCTCTTCCATGGACGCCACTTTGGGCTTAACTATTCTAATAATAACAGAGAACAAAGAGAGGTGAGTGAATCAGATCCAGAGTATGCTAGAAGTAATAAATATGTTTTGTTCTTCCACTGCACTGTACAGTCTTCATTTCTTCACATCTATGTAATGGTTCCATTAATGGAGGTTAGAGGATAGGTTTTTCCCTTGAGTTTATAGGTAGTAAAAGGAAGTACTATATCTAAGTTAAATAATCGGGTATTGGACAAACATTACTCTGAGTTATAACTTTCATGACGAACCAGTAGGCTGAGATATTTTCATTTGAATCATCTCCTAATTGGGCCATGTAATCCTTTCAGCTATATTTTACTTTCATAGGCAGGTGTATTGTTATGAATTTTGAATTTGGGGTCAGGAAACTATATTCCTGTCCTAACTCTGTACTTAGCAGCTCTATAACCTCAGGTAAGAAGACTCTTCTGTAGTTCAGTTTCTTCATCTGTAAAGTGGGGAAATCTTATGGAACTTATGTGAAGATTAAATGATAACATATATAATAATGCTTTGTAGATAATTATCATTTTTGATATTAATGGATAAAAAAAGGCAACCCAAAACAAAAGTTCCTGTGTTTGGTCCCTCACACCTGCCTCTGAGGGGAAGAAGAGGAAGGGCAAACAGTTAGAGCTCGGATTTACCCAGAAGCTCCCAACCAACTCCTCACAAAAAATGACAAACAGGAGTGACTGCAAGAATACAGGGTGCTAAGGACAGGACTTCCCACCTCTAACCTCTAGCTGCCTATTTATTCCCCATTTCCTCTTCTTGATTTCACCACTCCCACTACTGCTCTCTAGCCCTGGCCACTGACAGCAGCATCACCTGCGAGCTTGTTAGAAAAGCAGAACTTCAGCCTAACCTGTGACCTACTAAATCAGAATTTGTATTTTAACAAGGTAATTCATATGCATATTCAAGTTGGAAAAGCCAATAACCTAGGCCAAGGGGAGGCACTATTGGTTTTTTTTGTTTTCTGTTTTTGTTTTTATGTTGGTTGTTTGGGAACAGGGCCACGAGTTTCTCCTGAATTACTGTGACTTTTCAGGCTACTGCAATCACCAAACAGGCCAGAAGAATCCTGAGGCCCAGCCTCAAAAATTAAATATATATAGCCAAGATGGGAGGATTTGATTCTTGCTCCTCTTTCAAGAAAACATGTCTACATCCTCAGATGTCACAAATATGCCCATTAAAATAATTTTTTTAGTTTCTTGGACCATGTTTCCCAGCTCTAATAGCTCCCTCTTCTAACAACCTTCCTCTTACTTAACAAATACTGAAAGCCTCCCTATGTACCCAGCAAGGAAATGTGACAGTTTTGCTTTGTTTTGATTTCTTGTTTGTCTTAAAGTCAGTTTTTGAAATGTTAAATGACTTTAATGAGAGGTATTTAGTTTTTATGTTTATCAAATATATGGGTAAAAAAAAAAATGGTTGAAAAACATTCCCAAAGAAGGTACTCAATAAATGATTTACTTAATAGTAAGGATAAAATTTAAAAGCCTCTTAACATTCGTGTGGGAGAGAAATGAGGCATATCACACTAACAGATGTAAAGACATTTATTTGGCCAGAAAATATCATAAATAATTCTACAAGTGTCAGGGTTATAATACTTACTCTTAAAATGACAAACAGTGAGTTCATTTTTTTTTTTTAAAAAGATGTACTTAGCTCTGTGCCTGGTCACAGGAGTTTGCTTTGGTTTTGACTTGTCTCTAGGCTCCCTCATTAAAGTTTGGTGGTGGTTATGGGGTGTCTAAAAGTCCATTGCACCTGCACCCACACCCTCAGATCTGGCTTAGGGGGAAAAAAACCCAAACCAGAACACCTCCTTGCTGAACACCTATTTTTTAGTACCCAAATGTACTCACCTCAAAATCTTCACAAAGCACCTATTCCTAGGAGACTTTCCTTTTATTTTTTTATTGAATTTATTGGGGTGATATTGGTTAATAAAATTATATAGGTTTCAGGTATACAATTCTACAACATATCATGTGTGTATATTGCATTGTATGTTCAGCAGGATACTTTCCCTCTCAACAGTCAAGTCCTATTTGAAATGGATCTTAAGTGCTTCATGCACTTTTGGGAAGTTTTCTTAATTCTTAAAGAGATTTTACAGGTAAATTACATGCCGTATGAATCACAAAAAGCTTTAAAAGAAGGACCACTCTCTCCCTAATTAGTCCCACTGTGAAGCAGTATATTAAGGCTAGGACCACCTGGGTTCAGGGCTTTGTTCACGAAAGATAACTTACCTCATTTGCTTAAGCAGTGCATATGCTTCAATCAAAGAATGTACCATACTGGCCTAAAAATATCAACAAAAAAGAAAAAGCAGAAAATAGTTTCTTAATGTTTAATTCAGAGAAATTGCGTCGACTTCATCATTGAACAAATGAACGAACTTTTAGCCCCCCTCCCTTCGTTTTACTTAAGAGTTACAAAGCACTTTAGACAATATAGATACAAAGTATCTAAATCACTAAGGCGAAAGCTACCGGGCCTGATGGAGGCGATGGACCACTTTTCTCCTGCAGCTTCTTCTCCACGACTTCAGGGACCCCTTGCCGTAGAGACACCATCCGTCAGTGCCAGACCTTCCTCAGGCTCCCCACCCCCACCTGTGTCCGTTGGGCGTCCGGCTGATATACGCTGCGCGCTCAGAAACTGTACGGGAACACTTCCTCCATCGTCTCGTACAGCTGCCCAAATTAGTGCTGAAAATTCCCCCAGCCCAGTATCTTTTTCGCTACCTAATTCCCTCCGGTCCACCCCCACTCCCACCCCCATCGCAAAAGTCCACGTCTTTCATCCCAACCTCTCTTACCCGTTTGGGGACTTTGGCCAAGGAATCGCACATGCTAACATACTCGGGACTGTAGATGTAAACCGGGGGCAGGGACTGCGCACTGTCCTCAGGTTCCTCTGGCTCCTCCATCTTCCACTTCCAGCCGTTCCGGAGCCACCG